GCTGAACCAGCACAGGGCTGGGTCCTGTTGCCTTTGTTGGGCTCTGCTTTGTGCCGGCTTCTGACTCCTGAAAGCCCACCAAGCTTTTGTGCAGAGATCTGTAGAGGTGTCTCATCTGCAGAAGTTGGCCTTGAAGTTATTACACTACATTAGGCCTTATGGATAACATAAATTTAATGTTGTTAAAGCAGAGCACTGTTGGGCTCTGAAATTAGATGCCTTGAGGCTTTATTGCTTCTGAAGAAGCTCAGGGTACTGTGTGTGTTAGCACATTATCATTTCCTATTGTCCTGATATTTTCCCTTTAAGCCTGCTACAGTTGCTTCCTCTGTGTGAATGGGTCTTTTTGATCCATGCCAACTGCAGGGAGCCGTTCTTTTCTGGAACAGAATCCATCACGTATTTCAAAACGTGTATAATCATATTCAGAAGTACCTCAGAGAATCTGACATCTGCTTCCTGCAGCACTGAAAGGCTATCTTGCTTCATATTTTTCGGACCTGTACCTGTCACCAGCTTGCATAAGGAATAAATTCCCATCCCTGTGGTATAGTCCAGCCCTGGCAGTCAAACGTGTTATGGATCTTTTGTGGGAATTTCATCTTCCCCTCTAGCTTCTGGCTTTGGCAGCGGTACAGCTCAGCGGCTGGACTTTCACTGATGGCCCATTACCCTGTTTCAGCATGACAATAATCGATATTGCTTTGTCCTCGGCTGTCGGAAGATGTCGCATTCCTTAAGCAGCCCAAAAATCTCTGTGTGGCGTATTCTGACGTTTCTTTCGCGTGGCAGAACTTGCTGCTGTGCTCGAAGCGCAGGTCCGCAGGCGTCGCTCGCCGCAGGGGCTGTGTCCTCTCCGTATCGCCTGTCCCTGCCAGGAACCAGCAGAGTGACCCAGGCAAAAGCACCTCGAATTTCCGTCTTGTCCCCACTTACTGCTGCTGCACCCTTTGCCTCTGCACGTTCCCTGGGGGCTGTGGTTGCGGCTCAGCCCGGGACCCTTCAGCCCTTTACCTCGTCGCTGGCCCAGGTTAACATCAGCCGTAGGAACAAGAGCTACCCAAAAATTCTCATTTCAGGGATTTAGAAATAAAGGTTTTCCCTCAGAGTTTTTCAAACTTAAAGCAGGAAGATTTAAGCTTTCTAGGCCATATGCTAGAAACCTGATTTTCTCCAATTTTTCCTCTCTTTTAACTATCCCTCCAGGTGTAGCTTTATACTGCAGTGAGCATGCATCTGCCTTTACGCCAGGGAGAGGGAGGAAAACATCAGGTTTCATGACTGTGTGTGTGATGCCCAGGGTAATGTAAGGCAATAGATTAATAGCAGTAGCTGGGTTTTGAAGAGGAGCTCTAGGGATTTATGGTGTAAGTCAGCAGGATGCTGGCACTCAGCTGCTTAGAGAGAAGCACAGAGAATATCTTATGCCAGTAAAATGAGCAAAGGTACCATGCTCTCAACTTGATTCAGTATTTCAACAGAGCTGGCCACAAATCTTTGAAGTCAGGGTGGGTTTCAGGGTTGATGCGGAGGTTTTTTATGGTCTCCTTCCTTGGGAACTTTTTCCAATGAATAATCCACTTTCTTCCAGGCAAAAAAGTAATTGCTCCAATTTCTAATTGTAGCCATCACTTGTGGCCACCCCGGCAACCCTGCCAATGGCTTGACCCAAGGGAGCCAGTTCAATCTGAACGACGTGGCCAAGTTTGTGTGCAACACCGGGTACCGCCTGGAAGGAGCGTCGCAGTCGCAGTGCCTGGCCAACGGACAGTGGAGCAGCACCCTGCCTGCCTGCCGCGGTGAGTCGGGCTCGGCCGACGGGACTTGGCTGGGCCTTCCCCCTGGGTTCCTCTGGGTTCCTGAAATCCTGCCGGACGCTCTCCTAAATTCCTGTAAAACGAACCTTGCAGTTCCTCGAGAATGTGCAGTGGTGTTGGAGCTCTGAGGGCTGTGGAAATCTCATTCAACAAACCTGATTTTCCCTTGGGCTTCGCTCAGAGCTGTTAGTGGACCCTGCCCAGCCCTGCGTCCTCCAAGACATTGAAGCGTGTGTTGTAAGTGGGGAGGACACAAGAAAATATCAGGGCAGACCCTTAGCAGAGGTCATCCTGGTAACCCTCAGCCCTACATCCTCCAAGACATTGAAGCGTGTGTTGTAAGTGGGGAGGACACAAGAAAATATCAGGGCAGACCCGTAGCAGAGGTCATCCTGGTAACCCTAGAGCAGCTTACTCAAAGCAAACGCCACGGTCTTTGTGCAGAGCGCTTTCTCCTCCTAGGCTGCCCTACTTCCATTGGTATTAGCACTCAAGTTCACTTCTCAAATTCCCTCCCCTCCCTGCACCCCTTCCTCTGTGCTCCCTGAATCCAGTATCTCTGTCGATACTGTTGCTGTGTCGGTCAAGAAATCGGTTATTCTCAACTGGCTGATGAGAGTCCCGGGTTGGGGCCAGAGCAGGGCTCTGCTGCTGAGCCTCACGTGGCAGGGTGAGAGCCTGCAGGATTGCCTCTGCTCTCCCGCTTTTCCTTTCAATAAGGATTTTTTTCTATTTCTGTCCTAAAGAATCCTTAAAAAAAAAGAAAAAAAAAGACAAAAAAACCCACCTTAAATTGTGGAATATGTGATTTGCAATTTTTTCCCCTTTTCCTGCTCGTTTTTGGAGACTCCTGTGTGCTTTGTGACACCCTTTGTTTTGTATTTTTTTGTTGTTGTTTGTTTGCAGTTGTAAACTGTACTGACCCCGGGCACCTGGAAAACAGCATCCGTCAAGTGCAGCCAAGTGGTCCTCACAGATTCAGCTTTGGAACAACTGTCTCATATCAGTGCAGCCATGGATATTACTTATTGGGTACACATGTCCTTACCTGTCAGGGGGATGGCACTTGGGACCGTGCCCTCCCACAGTGTCTTTGTAAGTTCTTCAGAATAATACCCATCCACCACAGGTTTCATCCCATGTAGCTCGCTGTTGCTTAGCTGAAGGGTTGTGGGAAAAGTCTGGATCCAAAGTCCTTTGTAATCCGTGGGAATCCTGCCATCAGCCTCACTGGCCTCTGGATCCTGCCCAGAGCAGGAAAATGCGTGGTCTGAGGAGAGAAATCCTGTTAGACACAGAGGTGGTTTCCCTCTGCGGGGGCAGGCAGAGCCTGCTGAGTTGTACTGGTTCTGGGCAGCTCCAGCAGAAGTGTTGGAGGTGGAGAAGGGCAGCAGAACTTCTGCAGCACAGATCTCCGTAGGAAGGAGCCCGTGGTGAGCCCGAGGACAGAGCGTTCTGAGCACAGCTCAGCCAGGGCTGAGTTCCCATTCACCCGCTCATCCCCGCGGCTTTGGGGGAGGGAAGTGGCACGGCGATGGTGAAATAAATGCAGCCTTTCTTCTGCTGCAACGCGGAAGCCAAAGAGGATTTCCTTCCTGACCCTTGCTCTGCATTTCCCCCCATTTCTTACGGTATCCTGGCCCTTTCTGCCGTTGCGGTTTGCAGAGAGAATTGGGAGGCTCAGAGTGATGGTTTTGGCTTAAGGAGTATTTCCAGTAGTGTAGAAAGACACACACGTGGTGGTCTCATGCTGTAGTAGTAATACCTGGTCTGGAGATCTCCAGGCCTGGTGAGAAGGATGTCATGGTGATGTCCCTGTCCTGCGCTGGGGTGGACCAAGGTCCAGAGTGCCTCTGGAGCCGACGCCGGGCTGTCTGGTGAGTTCGTGGCAGAGGCAGGAGCAGACCCCTGGCAGACCAGCCCCCAGCACAGCGAGTATGTCCTTCTTTTGAGGTTAAAGCGGCTGCAATCTCGTTACCTGGCCTAACGAATGGCCAAGGCAGTCAAAAATGGAGCTGTGGACGTTCGAGTCAGCTTAGCTGTTCCAAAGCCGCGACTGTTTCTTTTTCTCTTTGTATTATCCTTTGACACCTCGTCACACGAAGTAGTTTTTGGCACATTTTCCTCTCCTTGCGTTAGCAACGTGCCAGCACCTCGCATCTGCAGCAGCCTGCACGGGCGCTGGGGAGCTGACGAGTGATAACCCCGTGTTGCCGAGCCGCGGGGGCTCCGGGAGGGCAGGGGCCGTTCAAATCCTGGGAGCCCCGTGTCTGAGGTTCCCCCAGTCCACAGCTTTCCAGTTAAGTAAAAGGGATCTCCTGCCTGAAAGCGCTGAGCATCCGTTGACTGGGAGGGTTTGTGGGCGTTCTCAAAACTTCGGAATCTCAGGTCAGTTTTACAACTCATTATGTAGATTCATGGGCTTAATAGTTTAAAAAAAAAAAAAAAGATATTTTTGCATGTCTTGTTTTCTGTGTGTTGGACTTCAGATGTGCTCAGTTTTGAAGCCCATACCCCTTTAAAGTGTTTGTAGCTGGGCACCTAAAATTACTAGGCACTTCCTAAAAGGTAAATTAAGAAGGTTGATGTCAGACAAGCGTGGGTTGCAAACGTTGTCTCCTGCCTGTTTCAGAGGAGAGAGTAAAACAGAGCTCATGCGCTTTGAGGGGTGGGAGAGTGAGTCCAGTGAGTAAAGTACACGGGAGCAGAGCCCAACGCGTCACAAGAAACAGTCTTCACACTGTATACATAAATCCTTTAAAAACCTCAGTACTGCCACAGGCTTTGAGCTTCGCTGACTCTGCTGGAGCATCTGTTATTAAATTGTTAGTTACAGAGTGGAAGTATGAGCCATCCAACCCCTTCCCTTGCAGAGCGTCCTTGGTTTTAGTCACAGCTCTGCACCACTATATTTCAGCGCCCACGTGCCCAGACATACGTGTGCTCTCCTTTTTATTGAAGCATACATCATGTTTTCTACCAAATGCCAGTACTGGTATTTTTAGACTCTAGCAGAGGGAGAGAAGATATCCGTTACGGACGCTTTCCTTCGGAAACGGAGTGGTGCATGGTCTTTACGCTGAGCATCCTCACCCAAACCTGTCTCATGGCCCCGAGATTTGTCAGTGCATTTGTCACCAGCCTCCCTGTCTCCGCTCTGACTGCTAAGCAAAAGTAAACCTATTAATTATTGTTAGTGGTGGTTTTTTACTAGTAGTGGTTGAGCGAGCAGCGCTCAGAATCTGCCAGGATAATTTGCTCCGGTGTGACACGGCGTTGGTTGCAGCTCTGCAGCGCGGGACTGGGCGCTGCGTGGGGTGAGGCTGTGCATGGAAATACTCCTGTCAGAGGGGGTGAGTTCACCAAGGAACCTGCAGAATGCCAGTTGGGGCCAAGCCCTAGGCGTTCATGCACAAACCCTTGGCAGGTCTTCCAGGATGAGCTTGGGTCCCCCAGAAGGAGACCGACGCAAGCTCTGCTCTGCCCCATCTGCATGGTGGCCACCAGGCGTTGGGTGTGCTCTGGGGGTTTGGATTTGATGATCTTAGAGGTCTTTTCCAACCTTAATGATTCTATGATTTAAGCTGCCGAGGTCCCCCGCAGCGACATCAAACGTGCAGTGCTTTGCTGCGTCCCTGCTGCGTCGGCCTTCGTGGTTGAAGCTGTTGCATCTGTCTCTTGCAGTGGTCTCTTGTGGGCACCCCGGCTCCCCACCCCACGCTCAGATCTCGGGTGACAAGTACACCGTCGGCTCCGTGGTCCGGTACAGCTGCCTGGGGAAGCGGACGCTGATCGGCAACTCCACTCGCATGTGCCAGCTCGACGGGCGCTGGAGCGGTCCTGTGAGGGGGCAGCCTGATGTGCTCTGAGCTGGAGAAATGCTCGTGCTACAGAGGGAGATTGTGGAAGGCTCTGAAAATCGCTGCGTCTCGGCTGTCCGCTCTCCTGCACCTTGGCGGAGAAGTGCTGGCAGAGAGTAAACCGCTCGGCTTGCAAGACGAGGAGTAAATCACTCCTCGTGTGGTGTTTGTGGTAGGAGGAGCACTGCAGCCTGCTGCTTCACCGCTTTCCCCGTGCAGAGTCTGTGCGGGATAAACATGTCTTATGCAAAATCGGGTCCTTGCATCCTGACTGCAGCATCGTACCCTCTTCCTCATGCATTCCAATAAAGAAGCCCGTGTGGCTCCTTTCCAGGGCCTGACATCTGCCGTTACGGCACTGCAGCAGTCCCCGGTCCACACAGGGCACGTGGAAGCTGGTACAATGAGTTTCCACATCATCAGCATCTCCCCTGAGAGCCGTTTGGCAACAGAAGTCCATCCCCGCTCCCGTGCCAGAGTAAGAAAGGTCTTGCACTGAAAATACCTTGATGAGCAAAAAAGTCGCTGGTGAGTCGGACTTGGACCCAAGTCAAGGGGGATGCCATGAGATGTGCTTGCCAAGCCTTCCTGAGATCGGGGTGCTGGGATCTCAGCTGATGGCCTCCAGTGGAAGGAAGGGTGCTGAACGACTGGCAGGATGCTGTGCACAGCCCTCCCCACACCGTCCCGTCCCCTGTTCCTTGGAGAGCACAGAGGCAGACAAAAGAAGAACTTAGCTGCAGCAAGGCATTTGGGACAAGTGTTAATTTTTAATTATGCCACTTAAAGTTAGCAGCTCCACTTGACCAAGTTTAACCTCTGCTTTGGAAGGGAAAAGGAAATCAGGCGGAGTCATCCTCGGATTTGGAAGCCTTATCTGCAGAGTTCTTGTTCTGCAGCTGCTCAGAAGGGTTTTCTGCTCCAATTCGTGCCTGTTCCCCATGTGGTTTTCACTGTCTTTCCTGTCACCTCTGCGGGTGGATTTTTTGGTACGTTCAGCATTGCTCTAACTAGTTCCCGTTGCCATCTGTTGCGTGTGGTTTTCTGAATGACTCCATGGAGGCAGCTTTAGGCTAGGGCTGGTGGCATTCGACAGGCCCTCTCTGATTCAGGTCAGGGGAGTGGGCAGTACCTCGGAACCAGGATTTCCACCCGAGGGCTTGGGACGAGGCTCCTGTTTTACCCCCGACGCAGCGGTACGGTTCCCAGGGCAGTGGAGAGGCACCACACAGCTCAGGTCATCTCCTGCCAAGGGTTCTCCACTGTGTGCAGAAGATCCCTACAGTGTGATGCGGTTTTTGCAAGACGAAACAAAAGACCGCTGTAAGACATTATGTGAAAATGCTGAACCCAGAGCATTCCCCCCTTCTCTCTACAAGCAGGTACCTTCCCCGGATGATGAATATGCTCGTTAAGTTTTACATTCCATGTGACGCTGCGAGGGATGTGCCCGGAGCTGCACTGCTAGCGGCAGGAGTGAAGCAGCCTCTCCTGGCTCGGGGCTGGATGTGCGCACGCAGATCGTTAGCAGAGGAAGCCAAGAACAGGCGTACGCGGTGTGAGCCTGTGTCAGGCCGTGAGGAGGTGGGCACTTCTCCAGCCTGCTCCAGAGAACGCCTGCGAGGCGTCTGCTGCAGCTGCTCCCTGCCTCCTGTCCCCTGCCTTGCAGCCGGCAGCTCCAGGCACTCGCAGCTCGTGCGAGCGGATGGGTTTCGGGCGGG